GTGGCTCTTTGACTGTTGCTAGACACATGCAATTCCTGCTCATGTTTTAGCTTCCAGTCCTCTAATCACTTTTGTTGTTCATTTGAACTCTGGAGTCTCAACATCATATTGTGGCAACCCAAAATGGATGCAGTATTCCAACTGTGATCTTACCAAGCACTATAAAATGGTAATAACACTTCACATGATCTTAATGCAGCCTAGAACTGCATTAGTTTTTTTGAAGAGTGCAGCAGACTGTTGGCTATATTTAAGTGATTGCCCACTAAAACTCCATGATCCTGTTAGATATTATAAACTATTACTATTACCAAGACAGGTATCACCTATATCCGTGTATTTTCTTGCCTAAGTGTAAAACCTTACTTTACTCATCACGAATTTCATTTTGTAATTTTGTTAAGTTCCTTCTGTATCTTGAGCCTATCATCTAGAATGTTGACTTTTTCCAGCAGCTTATTCATTCATTGCAGTTGGTGAATTCCCCTTCTGTATCCTCATCTGAATCTTTTATGAAGATATTGAAAAGTAAGGGTGCAAAGACAGAATCTTGGGATATCCCACTGCATACTTTCCTCTATGTAGATGCAGTTCCATTAAGGACTACACACTGAAGCAAAGCATTTGTTCCACAGGGTAGAGATAACCAAATTTGGCAGGTATACTAATACAAGCCAATGATTATACTTCAGCAACTATTTTCACATTAATAGACAACTTCAATAATACATCTTGGGGAAATAAAGTGTGCTTAGAAAACAACAGCTTTAAATCAGTTTAGCAAAACCTAGTTAAACCCATTCTAAACAAGATATGATGGATTAGATCCTAAAACCAAATTTCAAGAACTTGAATGCCAAGCATTTTTATTACCTTGTTTGGTATTGTGTAAGCCAACATAATTCCTTCTGGAAGATCAGGAACTGAACTAGAATCATCTTTCAGCTCTTCTTCTGAAATCTCCGAAACTAACTCTATACCTGAACATTCCCCCAAAAACATAAAAATAAAAATTGTGTAATTTAATAGAATCATGATCATCTTAAAAAGTTTTTTCAAAATATAACAGGTATATAACTAATTGTTTGCTTATCCCTGAGAATCAAAATAGAAATAAGTAATATTTAGAAAGTTTTACTGAGTTTTACTGCTATTTATGCTGCACTAAACAACCAACATACATTATGAACAGTATGGCCATTAAATTTTCTTCTTATTCATAATATGTACAATTTTTTTCTGCATTTTCTCAAGTCCTTTAATGGTTTAGTGATTCCCTAGAGAAAGGACGTCATACTGTAACTTTCTCCCTCATAAAGTTTCATGAAATAATCAGCCTGCCTTTTTGTGGGCATTTCAAGGCAAACAGTCGGTGTCTGCATTCTTCTAACTTCTAACTAACCAACTTCTCTTAATATGGTTTGCTTTCAAATAAATGGTATACAGTAATGTCCTCTGAAAATATTGACAGGGCAGTTTGACTCTGTCTGCTAGGATTAGTTTTCTTCCCTAAAATTCGCCCTTTTTCCCTGTCTACTGTAAGAAGTTTTGTGATCCTCAAATTGTAATAATAATTTTATTGATTTCCTTTTGAAAATTGCCTGAGGATCCTCAGAGACAAAGAAATAAACTGATATCACTAAGGGATTAGTTTTAAACAATTAAATATAGGAACATGCATTATCTTCAGGAGTCTTTTAAAAAAAATCACCCCAGTCATTGTCTTCATGAATTATTTCTTCTTCCTGGTCTATTAATTCTTCTTTTGGATTCACTGCCTCTTTTTTCTGGAAATATAAAGACACCAAAACTAACAACTAAAGCTTTTTAACAACACAAAAACAAAATTAAATAAAGGTAGTTCTCATCTGTGAGGCTGTTGTTTAATTTAACAATTGTGGGCAACAAAATTAAGAATAACAAAATATTAAAAAATATATTTATGCACCTGCCATTTTGCACAAAGACAGCATACACATATCACTCCAAAAATTTTCAAAGAAAATGACAAACTCCAAACTGAAGATATATGAAAGATTTTGCTGAGGATAATAAAATTTAAAGGTAAATCTGCATTTACCAAAAATGGATATACAAAATCACTATACACTATACACTATCACTAATAATGACTACCTGAAATTTACTTATGTGGGAGAAAACACTACAAGAGTTTTTTCCTCTAGCAGGTTCTAAATGAATAATGAACTAACTGGAGAACTAAGAAACCTATTTTTGGAGTTTGTATTTTACCTTATACTGTTCTTGCTGCATTCTGCAGTTTCTGTCACTACATTGTGGATTTGGTTTCATTGTCATGGTGGGAAAGAAATCCTGCAGTGCATTGTAGCCGAGATAAAAGCTCACCATTCCAAAGTTTAATAAATATCTGGAGAAAATGTTAGAATTTAAAAGCTTGTATCAAAACAAGGAATCAAATTCAAAAGATTTTATTCTAGAAGATCCATTGACAAAAAACTACACTTTGAGGTTTTAAAATTAAGGCAACTTAAAGATTTAGCCACATACTTCAGGACATTTTGCACAAGAAGACCAGCAACCACTCCCATAGTGGTGGGAAGACTGGCTGCACAAACTCCCTCTCGTTTCAGAGTTTTCTCATCTATGTTTGCGGCTATGACAAGTGGAGGTGCACACTAACAAAAAGAAAAAGATACAGAAAAGATGTTTATAACCATGAGTTTACAGTATGGAAAAAATATATTTAAGTCATTAATCTGGGCTAAATCCCAAATCCTTATAAAAGCCCAAAGAGGTTTGGAGTTACTGAAAGCAGACTGTTGTAACCCAGCTTATTTTCAGGGACTTATCCATTGCTGTTAACCAGCCTGAGTGAGACGCAAATCCAAGTATAAAGAATTACTGCAAGTTAGGAAATATTGTAGAAATTGTCTAAAAATAGCAATTGGAAAAAAACTATGATTGGTATTGCCAAAGAGACAGAAAAAAAAGGTCAATGGCATTTATTTTATCATCCAAATCCCATTTTTTAGAGACAAGATTATGTATCTTGCATGGTTTTATAGCAAAGTAAAATGTGGTGCTTGAAAAGGTACACTAGATCCAGGTCCGAATCTAACCTCAACTCTGGAAGTCTTTTGGGGAACTTTGGGCCAATTACTCATTCCAAACTACTCTCAGCACTGTTCTGGAATAGTTGGAAGACTGAATGTAAACACTTGATCTGAAAATATAACTGGGCCTCTCTTGAGACCTTTCCAGAGGACCTTTAAAAATTCTGAAAGGGGTTTGCTCGTCATTGGTGTCGGAGTGGAATCTGCGATTGTGCGCAGTTTTGCTTCTTGCTGGAAGGTCCCAATCAGGAGCAGAACCACCCTGGAAGGGTGGTGAAGAAAGGGGGAATCACCTGGAGGGTTGAGGGGAGCCACAACTCCCCGCCCTGACAGGAAAAACCCCTTCTAAAGGCAAGCTGTAACTATGGCCCCAAAATGCCATCACGAAGGTAAAGAACAGCCCGGAAACTAAGACTGTGCTGGAGCGGAGAAGCAGCAAACGGAGTGTGAACCAGGCAAAATACATGGATTTTGAGTTACCCCGGTATTAAAAAATAAAGGACTATATTGGAGGAAAGTGTGTGGAAGCAGTGACCAGAGAAAGTGAGAAAGAAATTGGATTTTATAAAATTGGCTTGAATTATTGTATTGGCTTAACTTGGAGGAGAAAATTTAAAGGAAAATATTTGAACACAACAAGAAATTAGAAATTAAACTGGACAACTATTGGATTATTGGCACTTAAAGGGCATAACTAAATGCTGAAATTGAGTGTGTTGAAAAGAAAAGAAATAATAGATTGAAATTAGCGAATTTAATAAAAGTATTATATTTAACAAAGAATGTTAAAGTTAAGGAAGGAGTGGATTGTGGAAAAGACTCAAGAGCACACCTGATGGTACAGGAAAAACTTCAATGACTTTTTTAAAAAAGTGCTTGGTCTTTCTAAGAAATTGGACTTTGGAATTTAAAAGAAAGTAGCAGAAACTATTATAAAAAATAAAAACCCTGGAAAGTGACATTAGAATTCTACAAAGTGGAAGATATTTGAAAATATTGACATAGAACCACCCAGTGACTGTGGGAAATAGTTGGGAAAGGGCCAACTTGAAGATCTGGAACAAAGACTTAAGGACATTGATTGTTGAAAATAAACTTAAAAGACACTGGCTGAAATAATATACTGGACTTTGGGACTACATCTATTAAGGAAGAGGAAAGAAAAGGAAAAAAGGAGAATTTATAATGGAGGAATTATTTATTGGAATAAGATTGGACTTGCAAGGTATAAGGGAAATGATGAAAATTAAACTTGAAATGTGTAATTACGTATCACAGAAATTAGAAATGGTGACCCAGCTTGTAGAAGAACAAAGTAAACCAGAGGGGGGAGGAGTTTAACAAAGAAGAAGCCAGTTTTGAAGAACAAAGGGAACAACAATTATTTAAGCAGGGGGGGAAAGGAATTAAAATAAAAAATGTGTGGGCTGATGTGATAAAAAAAGGGAGAATGATTCGGAAAATAGAAAAAAGGAGAGGGAAAAAGCCAAAAAGGGAAGTTCGAAAAAAAGAAAAACCAAAAGAGGGAGGGAGAAAAAGTTAATAATTGGAATGAGAAATGGAGGGGAATAAGAATGGGGAAAAGGGGAATTAAGAGAAAGGATCAGAAAATAAAGAGAAATAGGAAGCAAACAAGGATGAAAAGATATTTTCATATCTTTCAATATTGTTAAAAGAACGAGAGACAATGGGTGACAAAAAGGATAGCGAAGGAGATTCCGCAGGGTAATATGTTGTAATATATACAAATAAGTACTGAAAATAGGTAAGTATGTAACTGATGGGATTTTTTTTAGTTTCTTTTTCTTTTTCTCTCTTGTTATTAAAGAATTATCATTACACTAGATATGGAATTTAATAAAATAAATATGGAATCGGGATATTATGAGAATATTATATATTAATTGATGATTAGATGTATAAGAAAAAAAATGATGAAATGAGAACCATTATGGAAAGATTAATATAATTAATTGATTAATTAGACTAATATTTTTGTAATGATGACTAATATTTTTGTAATATTTTTGATGATTTATAAGGTGATTGAGAAAATGTAATGCGGAATCTGACAAAAATTATAATATGTGTGTGTGTTATATAGTAAATAGGGAGATGGTATTAAGGTAAATTGAAGGTGGCTAGAGGGGACAATTTTGAATTAATAAAATAAGGATTGATAAAATTGTAAATATGACAAAAAAAGGTAATATGGGAAATGAACATAGAAATGAGATAAGAATTTTAGATAACATTGTAAAATAAGATATGAGAATATCCTAAGAAAAATGAAATAAGTTATAACATGAATTGTAATTGGATAAGTTTAATATTTAATACTAATAAGGTTAATGTGATATGAAATTGAACAAACAAAATGAATAGGTAACTATGGTCATGTTGTATTGAGATGTGAAACCTGAAACCATACTGCTTGCCAAATGAGAATTTTTTATTTAAAAAAATGGAAGAGGAAATTGAATAATGAAATTACTAGGTATGTTTAACTGATATGGTGGTTGGCACTAGGAGAGAGTATTGAAATGTTGAAAATAAGCAATGAAGGATTTTGATTTGATGTGAATACGTGTATTAAGAAATATGATTGGTATTATTAAGTTTGCCTATACTAAAATGTATGATATATTGATGCCACACTGTTAATGTATTGTTGTGTATATGTAGATTGAAATAAAAAAACTTGGGGAAAAATTCTGAAAGCAGGATTTTAAAAAAGATTGATGTTTGAATACTTTCTCGGTTAACAAAAAAGGAAACCTCTGAAGGCAATAAATTGTTAATATTAAAATTCTATTCCTAATGAATATGCATTTTCTAGATCTCAAGCTGGAAGTTATTGTGGACCAGTATGTGGATGCAAATGAGCATCTAGGATGCCTTTGCACAGTCCTAACACAGATATACATTGCCATTAATTGGATGAATGAAAGATTTCTCTAAAGCAGAAAAGAACAAGAAGTCAGATACATACTGCAAAACAAGCTGATTCACCAGGTATGATCAACTGAATATGACCAGAAACGGCATTTTCGCTTACTCCAGATTCCATCCATACTTGTCCAATCTCATTACAAGCCTTTAAGAAAAAGACATGACATTTGATTTGCTAAAAATAGTATAAGAGGTATATACAACTGCACAACATCAGGCAGAAACCAGGGACTGCAGAACCTAAAGAGTCCACACAAAGAACTCAATCAGTTCAGGATTATAATGCTTGATGCTCTGGATTTTTCATGCTATCACAATTTTCTAATAACAGGCACTCAATTTGTATTGGATAAGAATAAGCAAACATCAATTAAGATTCATTAATGAGAGTTCTGAATATTTATTTACTTACAGTGTTAATTGCCATACGAGCTTCAAAGTTATCTACACAGCCTAGTAGAAGATCCACAGGTTTTCCTTCTTCTAATCCACCATTACTACAGTATTAATAAAACCAAGTCAAACAGTGCTATTATGCATACTGTAAATACACTTCTAAAAACTATTTTTACCTGATCCTATTCATAAAGTGCTGAAAGTTGGCCACAGTAGTGATGTTGTAATTATGTACTTCAAAGCAGACATCAGGATTAATATTCCTTTAAAAAGAAAACTGCTATTTATGATGTTCACATAAATATTTCTTAAACAACTTTCACATCAAATGCAATGTTCTATCTTTCTGGTAATGTTTTTTAAAGTTGGTGTGACATATCCCCATGTTAATACTTGTAAACCCGTTTTCCCCATCATATACCTTAAAGTGTGTTCTGCTGCTTTCACTTTGCTCAGTCCAGCTTGTTGGGGTTGAAAAAAGAGCCTATTCATATTCGCCAGTTCCACCTTATCATAATCAAACAAGAGCAGCTAAAAAAAATACAATAATACATATATGGTTTCCATTCATTTCTGAATAAGACTAAGTCTTGATTATATAATATACTGTATACTTATACTAATGTATGTGTGCTTTGGAATGGTCTATATAATGGTCTATATAACTTCAAATTAGCTCCTTTTTAAAGAGGATATAATTAATTTGAATTAGGGAGGATTGTTCTAAGAATTATCATGTAAGTAATCTATTTCTTTTCTTCCTAGCTCGTAGTTCAGCTGAAAAATTAAACAAAACAGTAGGCCAAAGGTACCTTGAAACTCAAGCTGAAATGGCAAAAGGCACATAATTATAAAGACTAAGTAAATTTAGTTAATATTAGTTAATTTAGTTAAGGCTTTCATGAAAAACGCTGTTCTATATCCACAGAAGTGGATCAACTCTGCCACAATTTTTTCAACTAATCCAAAATTGATTCTTGGATTTAACAAAGTATGTTAGATCCAGCAAGTATTCAAAATACTTGCAACAGATAAGCAATCTTTAAGCAATATACTTATTCAATTATCAATGTCCAAGGAAGAGTACTTTCAGATTAAGTGATTAATGAATATCAAATAGACAAGCACCAACTTTTCTAAACCACTTGTAAGTTTGTAATTTTAAAATGGAACTTGACTCTAATTTCTTTCAAATATCTTCTAGGAGTACATATCTTACAATATGTATCTTACAATGAGTAAATATGTATCTTACATGTCTCTTCTGATGTATGTGGACATTGATTATTCTGGTGGATAATCAAGAACTAAATGGGAGAAGTATGGTTCTCCTCCTGTTAAACCTTATAGAGCATGAGCATGATCTTAGAAGCATGATCAGCCAAATGTTTTAGACTGGATTTTGCATTTAGTCCACTTATCAATTCCTTCCCAAGGACGGGAATAGATCAATGTTGTTTGATGGTGTTAAAAGGTGTTCCAGGATGTAAACTGTTCCGAGTAAAGCTGCCTTTTGACTGATAGTGATTTTGTCAATGCGAATGATGTTTAAGTGGTGCTCCATATGTCTTGGAATTGTGCCCAAGCACGTATTACCATTGATACTTACATTCGTTGTTCTACTTCTATTTGCATGTATTTTCATTCTGTTATTTTCAATTGTCTCTCTTCTCTTCTGCTGTTTCCAGGTATTGCAATATCCACTCTCCAAACATTTTGTTTTTTATCAATAATTGTTAAATTGGTAGTATTATTATTCTGTCTGACTGCCTGCAAGGATTGGGGTATAGAGTACTTGTTTTCTGTCATTCTGCTTTTACGTGTGATCCAAGTCATGTCTACCCTAGTAAGAGATGCTGGCAGGCTTGATCCTCTTCCCCAAGTTATTTATAATATGCATAAAACTGGAGGGAAAGGCCAGTCATTGATCTGGATGAAATATCATCATATGATAATTACACACCTTTTAAGTCCTCACACCAGCCTGGGCAAGTGAGGTGGTAGATACCTTGACCCAGACTCTGGGACAATAGGAGACTGGGACAATAAGTTAAAACAAGTTCAAATTAATTCCAGAAAGCCAGAGTTGCTGTTCAAAAACCATCTAGCTCATTGTTTTTAATGTAAGCTTCTTAGAATATATTGAATAAGAGTGTAAGTTAAATAATAAAATGTCTTTTGAACAAAAATAGGGCAGTAGTATTACTGAAAATGTAAATGTGAGAAGGCACACATTCTATAAAATGCAAGCTGAGGAAATCCATCATGGGCCATCATTTATATGTCTGTCACTCAAGCATTACAATGTACACTATGAATACACTCTCAAAAAATGAGAATTTATTTCTCCTTAGACTTCCAATATTTTTATGCAGGACTAAGAATGCAGTGTAATTATAATGAAGGAATGACTATTACCTTACCAATGCCACATCTTGTCAGCATTTCAGCAGTCACACTGCCAATTCCACCAACACCCACTATTGCCACAGCAAATGAACGAATTTTCTAGGACAAGAAACCAAAGTTTTGAATGCTTTGCCCTATCAAGTTAAAACTTTGTGGCAAGTTATTTACAAAAAAAAAACATTAGCCTACCTCATAATCTTTCACAATTCCCATTCTTTTCAGTGCCATCAGGCGACTACAGCAGAGAAGAGAAGCAGAAAGAAAAGCAGTTTGTTAAAAAAAAATTTTTAATTCACTACAGGACATAGCAGCTTCCCAATATGAGATGAATAATTCCACAGTTCATAAATTATTTCAACTTTAAATCTCTATTTAGCAAATGGTTTGCTGTACAATCAGCAGATCTATTGAAACTACAATCTGTTTAGAAGTATCAATTAATTTATGACATTCAGAAATATATGAGTTAGTGTAAATGGGCATATGTAAATATATTTAATACACCCATAGATTTCTAACTGTTGTACAGTTAAATTTTACCTTCTATAGAGCTGTGAGAGTATTGTACATCATTTTTACATTTGTTTTGTATACCGATGGGTCCTTGACTTACAACTGTTCACTGAGTGACTATTCAAAGTTTCAACAGCACTCAAAAAAGTGACTTATGATCACTTTTCACCCTTACAACCATTGCAGCATCCCCATGGTCATGTAATCAAAATTCAGATGCTTAGATTGTAGATTGTGCAGTAAGCTATTGGAAGAGACAGATACATCAAACAGGAAGTTCCATATGTTCTACTCATCTTAAGATTTTACAATATATTTTTCAGATAAATCTCTGCTCATTGCCATGTTGGAATCACACCCCTACTATAACTCAGTAGTTTCAGATAATCCACAATAATTTCCATGATTCCTTTCTTGCTCTGGCTTTGACAAATGAAATGCACTTGTTCTGAACATTCAAGATTATATATACTTATATGAGGCATTGATCTCCATTATATAATGCCAGGTCAAAAATTTATGTTGCTTTGCAAGCATGGCTTGTTAAAAACAAATCATGTCAAACAAACTTTATTCCCTTTTTTGGATAAAGTAACTAAATTAGGGAACCAGCAAAATGCTGTGGACATAATACCGGCATTCTTAGACTTCAGCAAGACATTTGATAAAGTAGATTTCTTCTTGTTAAGAGCAATATGGGATAGATATGACTAGATGGATTTTTGATTGGCTGACCCATAGCAGATAGTCCTCAATGGAACTACATCTACATGGAGAGATGTATGCAGTGGGGTATTTCAAAGTTCTCAGTATTCTTCAATATATCCATAAATCTAGAAGAGGGGATAGAAGAGGAAGTCCTAAGATTTGCAGACACCACCATGCTGGAGGGAGTAATTAATATTTTGGAAGATAGGCTCAAGATCCAGAAAATCTTGACAGACTTGAGCATTGGGTCCTATCAAACAAGATGCAGTTGGGGTTTCCTTAAGCAAGAAAAATCAAATGCGTAGGTATAGAATAGGTGGTACCTGGCTCAATAATCATAATTGTAAAAGAGATCTAGGTATCCTTGTAGACCACACTTAAGCCAGCAATGTTTTGCAACTGCCAAAAATGTCAGTACAGTCCCAGGCTACATCAATAAAGGAATAGTGGCGGAACTTCCGGTTTGTCGGCTTCGCGAGCGGCAGGGATTTGCGAAGCTGCGCGATCCCTGCCGCGCTAGCCGTTTTTGGGGCTCCGACCCACACGGGTACGGAGCTAGGCTGCCCTGCAGGGGCAGCTGAAGGTAGGGGGGATCCGGAGAAGGGACTGGGGGTGTTGCAGACCCCCTCCCTGGCCGGCAGAACCCCCTTTTCCCAGGACGGTGCAGCGGCGGTCCGTAATGGCCGCCACAAAGAAGCTGGCAGCCGGGTAAGAATGCGCAGGAGGAAGTGGAGAAAGTGATTGAGAGGAGAAAGTTTTTCTTGGCTCCTAGGACTCTAAGACATATTTAATAAAATTCCTGAAAAGTATGACTTTCTGAATAATACCTGCCAGAAGAGGAAAAAAGCGGCTGTTTGAAGGTGCTGAAAGGATAGCTTTCCCTCTTTTCCTACGGAATAAATAACTGGATATTAAGAAACCTATTTTTTTAGGTGGAAATTGGTTTTAAGCGATGAGTGGGAAGAGAGAGGATTAAAAAGAAAATATTTGTATGCTAAGACTTTGTTGGAGCAGATGCCTTAAGGATTTGAAGACTAGAATATATTGTAATAAGATTTTAAACAGATTTGGACTTTCTTTCTCTTTGATTGATATTACCCCAGAAGGAGAAAGTGAGAACTCTGCCTTGGTTTGGACTGATTGATAACTTTGGGACTGTTTTATCTTTTTTATTTTCTTTTGAATATTCTGGTTGTTGTAAGAAGAAAGAAGGAGAAAAGGAAAGAAAAGATTTATAATGGCTCTTTCTGTTGAGGAACTAAGAAAAGAATATGAACAAGCAAAAAAAAATGGTAAAGATGGTGTGGAAGAAGCTTTCCTTTTCTTAGAAATGGCGCTTATTAATTATCAACAAACATTACAACAGATGAAGACAGCAGAGGAACAAGAAAGAAAGGAAGGAGCCATCTTTAATGAATCTCAGAATTTGATCCAGAAAGAAGGAAGAGAGAAAGAAAAGAAAAGAAGAGAAAAGAAGAAAACTAAAGGACTTAAGGACTTAAGATCTAAAAAAACATTTAAGAAAGGGAAAAATAAAGTGCAAAACCAATATGATGATAGTAAACAAAGGGGAAAAGGAATACGACAGAGAAGGGAAGTCGGTAAGGCAGAGGCTAGAAGAAGGGGGGGTAGAAAGGTTTGTTGGGAGAAGAAAGAAAGGGAAAAGGTGGAGAAAAGCTACGTTTTGAAATTAAATGAAAAAAAGGAATTTTTATGGATAATGGATAAAGTATAATTTTTTTTTAAAAAAAAAGATTTTGCAAGGTACATAAGATGAGATGGTAGTATTGCAATGGTTTAAGAGTTGATAAGAGATTAAAATGTTAAAATGTTTAAAAATGATTGGCTTTAAAACTTAATAATAGGAGAGGTTTAGAATATTGTTTTAATTAAAGAGTTTAATAAAATTATGGTATTGATGTTATTATAAAATTTTTATTATAGTATTTTTTTTTTAATATTTGGATTTATTGTCTAATTATGCACTTAATTGTATTGGATGTATTAGTTAGATAGAATGTACCAAGCAAAATCTGATTGGGTATTAGATATTATTTTAAAGATTAATTTGATTAACTTAGGGGGGAGATAGAAAGGCATCATACCCTGATTAATGATTTCAGGAGAAACTGATTTTCTTTTTTTTCATAAGGAATGAGACAAAGGGATGATAAAAAATGGACAAAAGATACAAATATAATGATTCAAACTAAGATGATTAATTAAGGTAGAATTAAGAAGTGTGAAATATGTGGAGAAGTTAATATAGAAGGCTTAGAATGGTAAATAAAATAAGTAATGATATGTAAGATGAGCATGAATATAATTGAAGTCCATGAAGAGAGAGACACCTGGGTCCAAGTTACTTTCCAAAAAGATTTTTTTTATGTTTTGTGTGTTGTGTGTATATGTCTTTTTTGGGGGGAGAATTAGTAAAAACTTGTAGAAATATAGAATGAGAATAATGGTAACTAAGTCAGAAAGAAACAGATGAAATAATAATAATGATATTGAATAAGAGTAAAGAGAAGTAAAGAGAAATTGAATAAGAGGTTTTGGTATGTTATATGGAAATGGTTTAAAACAGAATCATAATTTATCTGACTTGTTAAATTTACAATGGAAAAAGGTTTAAACATGTAATGAATAATGATAATTTGTGTGTTTTAAAAATTAATAAAACTTGTTTTAAAAAATAAAATAAAGGAATAGTGGCAATGAGAAGTGATAGTACTGCTTTACATTTGTCAACCTAGAAGTAAGAAAAAAATTTCTAACATGAGAGCAATTAATGGAATTGCTTGTGTCCTGGGACTGTGGGTGCTCTATACTGGAGATTTTCAAAAATAGACTGGGCAATCATTTGACTGGGATTTTATAAGGCTCCTGCCTTGATCAGGGATTTCGACTCTAGTCCGAGGTACATTCCAGCCTTATGATTATGATTCAGGGAGTATTGGTTCGCAAAGCCCATCACGATCTCGAACAGCAGACTCCGAGACACTTCCTGTCACGTAGTATTGCTGCTTCAAAGAACGAATGTGAACTGCAATGTGGCTGCAAACATTTGTTCTATGATTAAGAACGATGGTGTTTCTCTGAACATAGTTTTAAACATTTAGTTCCGAAATTCCAAGGAAAAATCGAACTGAGTTTGCATCCAGAAGAGGCTTCGTGCCCAGCTGGTAGAGGAAGCTAAGGCAGCCCCACCAACGGCCTCTCCCCTTCGCACGTCGTCCTTCACCCAGACCTCGCCTCGGCTACCACTCACCTGTACGGATTGGAGTCCGTCACCTCGGGGCTCATCTCCGCGATCCGTGCTCGTAGGCCCCGACTGCCTCCTCTCTCTCGGACCAGCTCTTCCTCCAGTTCTTGGATGCGCCGCCGTAGCTGTTCTATCTGGTTCCCCGAGGTGGTCATGATCGGGGCCTGCAGTTCTAAAACAGCACCCTCTTTCACCAAAAAAACTTAGACGTCTAGATTTCCACCGGTGTCCAGCCACTCAACTCAGCTCAAACCAGTCAATCCCTTCAATAGAGACACGTCTATGTCTCCAACGCTTCCTGGGGTAGCAGCAAAAGCCATCCCCGCCGCAACCCACTTCCTGCAAACATTGTTCCGGCGTTAAAAGATTTCTGGAATGGTATCACATGCTTTCAAATTATGGCACCTTTTAGAAGGTTAAGCAAGTGCAATTCAGGATAAGTCTACTTTCTCTCTTAGTTTTTAACAGAACTGCCTTTCGTAACAAGTCTACGTTCGTTGACCTACCACTTCCCTCATCCAGCAATATGTACCCAAGGATGATGGGAACTGCAGTCTATTCACATTTGGAGCGCGTCAGGTGAATCTTCGAAAGTCTGATTAGGATCGCAGCTATAAGAAATCTGTTTTTTCAGAAAGTGCGATGTTACTTCTAAGAGGAGAATGTAAATTGCGTAGAAAGGCATTCACCACACTACGGGATCTCTTTGCCCGCCTCCAAAAGTGGACGGTATTACGTCCTAGGCGTAGACTGGGTAGGCTTCACTTCCTGTAACCTTTGCTCTGCGAAAAGATCAGCCGGTGGTCTGAAGCGAATTCACCTCCGCAAAAATGGCAAGTGAACCTGATACTACTGAAGTGCGGGAACAGCACCAATTTTGCCAGGGAGCTTTGGAGGAATACCTTTGCCGCTCCCTGCCTGGGTTTCCCGTGGAGCCTCGCGAAGTTCTCACGATCAGGCAATACAGGTAAGGATCCCCTGACGCGGCTGGGGAATCAGAAGGAGGCAATTCCTCCCGATCTCACTTGTCGAGTATGCTTGCTTTTTTTGAGAAAAAGTCATAGCAGTAGGATTGATCTGTCTTTACACAGTCAAGGCTCCGAAGGAAATGTCCGCGAACGGGATACACATGTTTAACCTTCCCCATATTTCTTCATTTACAGCCGTTGGATGGCCATAGGAATAAAGGGGAACACGCGGCCTAAGTATTCATTGTTTTAAAGTGAGGGGATAGTTGAGGAAGATAGGGCAGTCTTCCAGTCAAATTCTGTCCGGTGCTGATGGGGCTTCAAGGTTGTCTCTAGTCTCCCACAAGGATATCTGGACTTACAAAATTCCTAACCCTATTAATTCAAGTTGCAGAAATATCTTACTGAAATGGCAAATTTGTTATCAGTGTCTGAGATTCTTTCATGGGTCCTAGCCACTTCATGACATTCATGAAATGTAGTGCAGAGAAAGACACCACGCACACACACATAACTGAACATCTTGTTTCTTTTTCTATCTTTGAATTAATTTTTTTGCTGCTGATATCTCATTATGCAGAAGATTATTTTGAAATCTGGACTGCTTGTATTAATTTAGAAGTTAACTATTTTGGGAATAAAATTATTTATGAGATTTACAGCCCACCCACTCCAGTTTCTTTCTGGAGTTCAGTGTGTCAAGTAAGCAGTTCTGTTCCATTTTCATTGTAGCAACAATCCTTGTGAAGTAGTTTGGGCTAAGAATTAATAACTCCAAGTCTGAGATTTTTTATGGTTGAAAATGGCTTTAGACTTACTCAAGTCTTTCCAGGTCTAGTCCAAAATTTTAACTATTTTAAAGGTTGAAAAACCATGGTGGTACAGTGATAGAACGCAGTATTGCAGGCTAACTCTGCCGACTGCCAACAGTTCAATCCTCCCCAGCTAAATGTTGACTCAACTTTCCATCCTTCTGAGGTTGGTAAAATGACACCATCAGAAATAGAATAATTGCTCAACACTATTCATATATACAGCCAAAATATTGCCATGGAGTTTGCAGTGGACAAATGTGCCACATTTACCATCAAACAGGGAAAAATAGTGAAAACTGAAGGAATCAAGATATTCTGTGAAATAACATAAAGAGTCTTCGGTATCCTTCAAGCTGACAACATCAAGCACACTAAAGTCAAGAAGAAGCTAAATGTGAATACATCAATAAAGTGAAGAAGATCTTAGTCCAAACTTAATGGAGTAAATACAATCAAGGCAATCAACACCTGAGCAATTCCATTCATTACATACATTAGAATATTGGACTGAACTCAAACAGAACTAAAAGCAATGGATAGGAAGACCTGAAAAAATAATGACAATGAATCATGTCCTTCTTCTTGCAATGACATTGACAGAATCTACCTTCCAAAGAAAAGAGGTGGGTGTGGAATGTTGCAGTACATCAAATGGCTGAAAAAGGAAAAATGGGTATTGGAAGAATATCTGAAGGACAATGAAGAAGATGTACTAAAGTTAGTATACCAGGAAGGCTTACTGACTACTGGAGAGACCAATCTGGCTTACAAAAAAGACCAAATAAAGAACAGAATGGAGACATGGGAAGACAAAGCACTATGTGGCCAATACATTAAAAAAAAACCAGATGGGCTCCCAGGGGAAATATACAAAACTATAGGTGAACTGATAGAACCATTAATACTGGAAGTATACAATGACGTATTGATGGAAGCAAGATTACCAGAATCTTGGAGGGAGGCATATATCTCTTTAATACCAAAAGAGGGTAGAGACAACAAACAAATTCAAAATTACAGGCCAATATCATTGTTGAATACCGACTACAAAATATTCACAACTATAGTAGCAGAAAGGCTGAAAAAATTATTAAATGAATCTATATATTCAGACCAAAATGTATTTCTGCCAACAAGACAAATTAGGAATAATACATGAACAGCAATAAACATATTGGAATATTATAAGACCTTTCCAGAAAAGCGAGCTGCTCTAGTTTTTCTGGATGCACAAAAGGCTTTTGATAATCTTAATTGGCAGTTTATGATACAACAAATTAAAGATATGAATTTAGGAGACAAATTCAAGAAAATGATAGAGGCGATGTATTCCACTCAAAAGGCGAGTATATTACTAAATGGGGAGAATACAGAGACATTTAAAATAATGAAAGGGATAAGGCAAGGATATCCATTGTCACCTCTATGTTTTATCCTGACGCTAGAAATATTAATTCAAATTAGACAAAATCCAAAAATAAAAGGAACTAAAATAAAAAAAGAATATAAAATTCAAGCTTTTGCAGATGACCTGGTATTCATAGAAGACCCAAAGGAGACAGGAAATATTTTAACATGAGAATTAGAAAAATATGGAGAAGTATCAGGTCACAAAATTAATAGAGAAAAGTTAAAATATTTAGTTAAAATATTAACTAAAAAATTAACAGAAAAACAGAAAAGAAAGGGTAATGGGACTGCAAATTACAAAGAAAGTAAAATACTTAGGAATATGGCTAACTGCGAGATGTTCATCGATAAAAGAAAATAACTATATGAAATTGCTGCAACAAATAAAGATTTGGAATCATGGGGGAAATTACAATTATCTTTATTAGGAAGAATTGCCATGGTTAAAATGAATATTCTACCCAAATTACTTTACTTATTTCAAACAATCCCCATAAAATTAGATAAGAATTTTTTTACGGAACTGAATAAAATCACTTTAAAATTCATACAGTCAGGTAAGAAAGCTCAAATAAGATTAATAGCGTTACAGGATAGTAGAAGTAGAGGTGGCTTTGGACTTCCAGAGTGGGACTTCTATTATAATGCAGTATTGATATGGATCAAGGAATGCGTCAATTTGAACAACAAAAGGATTTTAACCCAGGAGGGTCATGATTTACAGATGGGTTGGTATGGCTTCTTATGGGAAAAGAAAAGTAAGAAACATATATATTTTTACGGACACAAAATGAGGGATTGTCTGATACAGATTTGGAATAAAATTAGGAAAAACATCATATGAAAATACTGGCCTGGCTACCCACCATGGAAGCGATGATCTACCCCAATACATTGGATTTAGGCAAAATGGCCAGATACAAAAAAAATTAGATAATCAGGGAAAATTAAAAACAAATCAGGCTTTAAAAGAGCAAGGCGTAATCATAGGTTGGTGGCCATATCTCCAGCTGCAAACCAGATACAAAAAAGACGTAGAAGAATTTGGATTTTATACTGATTACAACAACTAGATAAAATTTTAGTAGGCCCTGAGGAGAAATTCACAACAAGGATGTATAATTATTTATTAAAATTTGCTTTGGAAGAGGAGGTAGTAAAAGGTTGCAACATAACATGGGCAAAAAATATTGGACATAATATAGACTTAGAAGATTAGGAAATAAAATTTGGAATAAAATTTGGAATAAAAATTACACATTAACAAGCTTATAAAGACAACATATACAAGATGTTTTACTGTTGGCATTTGACACCAATGAGATTGGCCAAAACGTACTCTAATATGAATCCAAGATGCTGGAAATGCAAACAGAACCAAGGTACCTTCTATCGCATGTGGTGGTTATGCCCAGAAGCCCAAAAGTACTGGACCAAAATATGGAATTGGATACAAGAAATAGTAGATCAGATAGTTTAAACTGGATTTGTTCTTGTTGGGAATAATTAAAGGAAAATATAATAAAAAGATTAAATATATTCTACTACATATATTGACAGCAGCGAGGATAGCATTTGCACAATGTTGGAAACAAAATAACACACCTTCAGAGGAATTAGTAATTCAAAAAATCTTAGATTGTGCTGAAATGGATAAACTTATGTTAAAATTAAAGGATAAGGAAGTGTCAGAGTATTATGAATTTTGGGACAATTGGTACAAATAGTTGAACAATAGAAAAAAGAATAATAGAGGTAAGAAAATTGTAGACAAATGTATATGAATGTATATAAATGTATATATTTACATGAGACTGGTATATGTAATAATGATGTCACTGTACCATTAATGTTAAGATCAAGATTTGTAAAATGCGAAAAAGAATAATAATTTAAAAAGAAAAATAGCAGGAAAAGCAGATAATAACAAGACCTAGTAATGGTTAAGAGCAGGAAAGTTGAAGAAAGAGACCGGAGGACTAATTCTAGCTGCACAGGCCCAAGTCTTAAGAACAAATGCATACAAACCCAGAATTGAGAAGACAGTAACAGACAGTAAGTGCCACCTATGCAAAGAAACAGAAGAAACCTGGTAAGCTGGTGCAAGAAGATCATACAGGC